AACCCAGTGTATGCAACTGCTCCACGTCATTTGGTTCTTAATGCTTCATGATTTAAAAAAAAATCAATTTCCTGACTTTTCCTTTGCTGCAATACATTGTCACTGTGAACTCACTTCTCACCCCACGCTTGTCTTTCAAAGTGTCATGAAGGTCTGTGCTTTCCAGCTTGCCAGGAGGAATAGGCTAGGTTCCTTCCACAAAAATTCCACCATACTTCATTTTTCATGAGGGGAAAGTTACCTTTATTTTATGGTGCAAATCCAGCTAAGAACTGTGATTTCTGATGTTAAATGCTAAAAAAAAACAGTAGTAAATAGCTGTCATTTTATCTCCACAGTTTGTATAAAAATAATATGATGCTGTTAGATTTCCTTTGGAATTTAGTGTTGTAAACTTGATCGTGTCTCTATTTAAAGATGGCCCTGATGCTTTTCAGTACATCCTTTGCAAGGGTATGGTGAGAGTGGAGTGTTGCAGGCGGGACATTGTGCATGTTTTGTCTGGAGGACTCTGTTAAGGGTGGCCTTATCTTAAAAACGCAACAGGCGACGGTTTACAGATAAGTACAGAGGACAGGACTGGAAGGAATAGAAGTGGTTCCTGTAAGGTGTGTGTCTTCTCTGTGTTTGTAATGTTTGTCACCTCTTTGGTGTCCTTGTAATGGAAGTGTCTCTTGGCCCAGGATTCAGCATTTCAAAGAAACCATGTTTCTGGTTAAAGCAGCCAGGTTCCTGCCAGAAGCAGTAGAACTGCAATGGTGTATCCATGGGCATTGGACAAAGATGGTTTCCATACTTCTGATGGAAGGGAGTAGTGCCTTTGCCACCAGGATGAAGGGGTAGTTCTGAGCCCTCCGTCCATGTTCATGGAGAGCAGGGACCCATAAAGTGGTTTTGTGCAGGAAGATGTATTACACCGTCTCCTCTGCTTCTGCTTTGTCTGTCTGTCAGCTCTCTTTTTTTTTTCCTTTTTTAATAACCTGGATATATTCCTTACAACCCAAACAACTGTGTGTTTGATAAAAGGTCTGTGTGAACTCCTAGTACTTATTTAAACTATTCAGGTTCATTCACCTGAGGCTGGAGGTGCCTGATCAAGCAGGTATGCTCAGAGCAAGATGTATTAGGGTGGGATAGTGACGTCTTTGTTAATGACATACAGGGATTAAAACCAGTGCAGAGCACTGTAGCTTGCTTGCATTTAATCAAAACACCTGCCCAGCACTGCTTGTCTTATTCTGAACTAAACCAGAGGCCAGAGCATTTTTCACTAAAGCAAGATGTGGTACCTAGTTCCTTCTCAAGTATGGACCTGTCTTCCAAGAATCTTCTGACTACCGAACTTCAGGCTTGGCTGGCAGTGCTCGTCATCTGCCCCTTCAGCTGAAATTAGGTCATTGATTCTTGCACTTTCTCTTACAGAGTTACAAAAGAAAGCAAGCGAAAGAGGGAGCCAAGCCCTCTGATCTTGTGCCTTAGATCCCTTTCTAAGCAGTTCCTATCCTAGCCATGTAGACTTTGTGGACCACTCTCCTAAGAACACTTACTTTCCATCCAAGTTGTAACTTAAAGTTGACCCGCATCTGTGCTTTCACATAAATCTGGAGCAGTGAAGTTAAAATTATGTCACCTTGAATTCCCAGTGAAAAATGTTATTAGAAAGCTTCTGCTTTCAAGCTGTATCTCAAAGTGGCTTTGTCTCATTTGTAGCCTTTTCATTCCCTCATAAAAGATGCAACACTGAACAAACGTGTGTCAGGACTCAAATGGAAAACTTTAAACAGACAGTGGAGATTTCACTTTGGAGTGGAAAAAGTAGACAAAGTGGTAGAATACTGTAGCTATCAATAATTTTGTAGTCTGACTTTGTGCCTTTAACTTATGCTAAAGGAGAGGTTAGTCTTTACTCTCGTCTGCAGTTTCAGAAATCTCATCCATGAATTTCTAAAGCTCAGACAGAACTGGGTTTTATTGTAGAGCCCACAGATGCCAAGAACATACGGTGCTGTGTGTATTTGGTGATGGCTTGGAAATGTGTTTTGACTACTTGAAGAAACCAAAGCTGGGGTAAAACTGAACCTTGTTAACCTTTGTGGTTTCCTCAGAGGACTTGTATGGGTGTTGTGAGAAAGAACACAGTTCTTAGATTATAAATCACTTCATTAGATATAAAGTCCACATGCAGTCTGTGATGCAGTCCCTGTGCTGACAGCTGGAGCAATCCAAAGTTCACTGTACAGCGTCCACCTTCGTTACTAGTCTTGGAGCCATGGTCTGGGATGTTCTGCGAAGCCACTATAGAACTAAAATGGGCATGTAGCTTCTCTGGTAAGCCAAGAGTCTCTGCTCAGAAGTTGAACACCAGCATAGGTTTTGCTGGGGGAGCTATTGGCTGAACTGGTTGAAAATGGAAACGCGTGCTGTTCCAAGATGCAGTTTAACCTGTTTTTGGACCTGCTGTTCCAAGATGTAGTTCAGCCTGTTTTGGAGCAAGTGACTGGAAGCAGTGCTTCCAAGTAATAACTTCAGTTTGGACAGCTTCGTACTTCAAAATTTCAAATACAGTGCTTTTTTTTTTCTTTTTTTTTTTTTTGCCTCCTGCTGTTTTAGGTTGTTTGCAAAGAGGAGCTAACTCTTCATTTGATAACTGGAATAGGGCTAGGAGATGCAGAAGTCCTTAGGGCAGGAATAGGAAAGGTATTATTACTGGCTGAAGATTTTCAGTTTTGCCAATTCTCAAGATACTACCCAATTCATTTGTGAATAAAGAGGAATGTTGGGCTGGAACGAGATGTCAAGTTCATCAAGGTGGCCAAATTTTTAATTGGATTCTGGAAGAGAGGATCTGCAGATGGTGGGTAGCAACATTTTGTGTGCGTTGTAGCTTAGAGAAGCACATGCTTCATACGAGATAGAGTTATAGGGTAAAGGAGGACTTTACACAGGGGAAAAAATGTGTGTAAATGTGGTGGTATAGATGTGAAGATAGCTAGGCAAATATGCGGTCTTAGTAACTGTTTGGTCTCTGCTAAAATAAACAAAGGCTCTGAAACAAAGTGTTGTAACATGTGAAAGCACGGATGGGAAGAACAGCACTCCAAGGAACAAAGCTGTCCTTGGGTGCAGGTAGCAGAGGTGTTCTAATCAGTTTTGACAGTTCCCCGAATTTCCTTTTCTTGTTGCTAGATGCCAAATAGGAGTGGGAGGAGAATTTTTAAAAAAAAATATCTGATTATGAAATACCTAATTTGGGGTTACGGCAAAAGAAAACCTGAATTTTTGTGATAAGGTCTCAAAAAACAAGTTTGGCACAGATACCTATGCGAATAGCATTTCGTTTTGCAGTCTCTTCGGTATGTCCGTCGTGTCATGGCACAATCAATTATTTAGAACAGGAGCCAGTCTCAATAGGTAGGCAGACAAAAGGCAGGAGAAGGACTGTGGGTGGGGCCTGCAGAGTAAATTGCACCAGGTCATGAAAGAACCTCTAGGAGTATGTCTAGGATTGCACTGATGTCTCTCCCTCACAACCACTTTCTTGAAGCACATTTTTCTCCCAGGCTTCTCTATGCTGGCCCTTTCCTGGATGTGTGACAAAATCTGATACTCTAAATAACTTTTTAAGACTGTTGCATCAGTATTTATATAAAAGTGAATAATAGATGAGGGCTTAGAGCAAAACCCCAGACCTGTATATTCTATATCAATAGAAAATACCATACTTAATTCTGTGTAAAAGTGTCAGTATGGAAACTTTAAATCTTGATGTAGATTGCTCATATTGAGATTGCTCTGAACTTCCGCTGTAGGAACTCTGCAACTAAGGTAAAGCCAGGTTTGCACTTTTCATTAGATAATCATAATTCAATATTTGCGTTTTAGTAAAGGGTTAAAGAATGGGACATGTTTCTAAGTTACATTTGCAGAGCTGGAATTTGAGATGCTGTCTACCAAGTCAGAAGGCTGGTTTTACCTAGATGGCTTTTTGTTGAGTGCCTGGACCTGGCTTGATAGCTCCTCTGTGACTTGGGAATACTTCTGTAGTAAACGTGGTGGAATGTTAACATTTAAAGCCAATTTTGGGAAAGAAAAAAAAATGTGTGATAGCATCTGGTGTTATATTTGCAGAATTTTTGCAGCCATTAATCTTAATGCAAACTGATACATTCTAAAAGCATTCATGCTTTTAACAGTGTTCAGGGCTTCATAAATGTAATTCTCTTTTTAACAGAAATAATTGGAATCTAGCTGGTGCTCCAAAACACGTTATGCAAATAGCTAGTAGGGTTTATGGAAATACGTTTTAAACCCTTGAAAGAAAGGAGAAAATGGGGACAAAATAACTGTTGGTGGGGAAGTTCAGTAGCAATGTATAATTGCTCTGAAGGATTTACAGATTGTGTGTGGTCTCTGCAAGAGCTGTTTATAGCTCCCGTGTTCATTCAAAATACCAAAAACTAGATCACTTGAATGATAGCTGTTTTGGAGTGAGGGAAGACTTCTTGTTTGAAGAAGCTCTATGTTACGTAGCAAACGATGGCCATTGCTACCTCTCACCCTGTTTCACGGGAGGTGACTGAGCATGCACAATGATTAAATATCTTGGGATAGGACTGATTTCAGTCTCTGAATCCTGTTTTTCAAATAAACATCTAATTCAGGATGCAAATAGAAAAGATGAAGTTCACAAGCCCTCCTGACTTTGTTTCTCTTACATAGCATAAATGTAGTCCCTGATCCCAGAAACAGTTACTGTGGATGCCATTTCTAGAGCTAAACATCTGAAAGGATGAGCATAGAGATGCTGTTAATCACTGTGGTTGCCTCTTATGGCCAGATTTGGACCGTGTGAGCTTCCAGTTGATAGTTCTTTCTCTGATGCATACTTCCTGTGCAGTTTTGCTTTTGAATCAGTTGGTTTATTTCCAGAGAGAGAAGGGAATTGTCTCTGGGACACAAGACACCTTTCCATTCTTAGGTTTGACTGTAAGCAACTCGCAATGCCAAGCACTCGGGTGGAGAGACGACACCAGTTCTGGTGAGGATGTAGTTTCTTCTCATCCATACAGTACTCAGGTTCCCTGCCTCAGGAGTTCTTCCACACAGTACTCGGGCTCCCTGCCTCAGGAGTTCTTCCTGCTCTGTTCAGCCTCTGTCTCAACCCCGAAGTCAATGCCTGGCAAGAGCAGATAGGTGTGGTGGCGGGAGCAAGCAGCCTGGGAGGAAACCAGCCTCTCTGAGTGAGTTCCTGTGGCTCGTCCTGGTGCAGAAGAGGTCTGAGGTGCTACAGCAGGCAATAGAGGGGGTGAAGGACAGTGTGTTGCCACTTGCTTGCTTTCATTCTTGCCCACGGGTGCTGCATTTTCTCCAGGCTGACGGCCACTGTCGTCTTCCAAGAGGTAAGCCAGAGAAGGGTTCTGGCCTGTTTCTCTTCAAGTAGTGATCACTCTTCAGAATGCCTTGGGCACTTCCCTGTCACTTAACTGCTGCAGTTAGTGCAGAAAACTTTGAAATGTTCTCTTGTTTTGCTTTGAATTGAGCCAAACTAAGGTATTTGGTTTTAGGTCAAGAAAATCTAAGATAACAATACACCTGAAGTTCTTTAATTAAAATTTCGGAAAAGACAGTTACCAATCTCATCCTGAAAGTTGTTGGTTTCCAAAACATCCAGTTCTTAGTAGTAATATTTATTTGACAATCACTGCTCAAAATTTTTTTAGCGTATTTGTGCTGCTTCGCATCAGTCAAAAAACACAAAATTGTTGCTTTATATTCTCAACATGAAGATTTGTGCAGCTTTCAAGAACACAAGATACATGTCTGAGTGATCTGCTGCCCAAAATACATGACGTTGTTTCCACAGAAGTAAGAAATGCATCAAAAGATGCACTGTCTGTCAAGGATGTAGAAATTTGTGGTGGTTCTATAAGTGAAGTGAAATTATTAATTAGCACTCTTTAAGTTCTGCTTATTGGTAAAATTCAATTGATTTCTAATTAAGATGCCTACGGAATTTGCTTCTATTCATGCCTGACATGTAAATCTTCTGTTTGCTTAATAGAAGTGCGTTTCTTTTGAATTCCAGCTTTCAGTCCTTTTGGAATGTACATCAACCCAACCAACTTGCATCCAGTGAGGGGGATTTTTCCAGATATCCCTTCAAAGCTTTTTTCCTGGTTCTGCTTTTCTCAGCAGACTTTATCTCCTACTAGTGCTTAAGATTGAGTTGCATTGCTGCTGAGTGTTGAACAGCCATGGTGTTGAAACTACTGCTGTTCCCATCACATAGTCTAATGTTGGCTTTGCCAGGCTGTTTAGAACTGAGACTGGTCACCATAATCAAAGACTTGAAAGGATCCATTTTGTCTTTTTGTTTCCAGAGGGCCCATATGGAATATTTGCTGGCAGAGATGCCTCCAGGGGACTGGCAACTTTCCGTCTAGACAAAGATGCACTCAGAGACGAGTACGACGACCTGTCGGACTTGAACGCTGTACAGATGGAAAGCGTAAGAGAGTGGGAAATGCAGTTTAAAGGTAAATTCTCAAATGAGCAGCACACCTGTAGTTTAAGAAAATGCTTTTCATAAAAATGACTGATTTAGGGCTTGGGGCAGCTTTTGAAGGGATGTGGATGGTAACATTAATAACGCAATGTAACTTTTTTTGGAAAAGACATGGGATTTAAGGTCTTTCTTCCACAGAGAGGATTCCATTCTATCCCGCTATGGCTTTTTCAGTCTTTCAGTTTTATCCAAAAAGTTACTCTCAGCTCTTCAGCACTGAATTTTGCTCTCCAATCTCAGTGTAGCTTAGCTGATGGTGGTAGGTTGTTTGCTTTGGATGCCATGGAATTATGATTAGGACTAAGAGTTGTTTTGGCATAAATGGTTGAACAAGTTTGTTTTGAAATAATTTCTCCCATGTACAGAATTATGCCTCTGGAGGGGGGGGGAGTCGTTTTTCACATGAACTGAAATGAAAACAGGCTGAGGGAATTTGTGTTGAGTTTAATAGCAGTGTTTTCAGCTCTTGTGTGATAAAGCTTGGCTGATGAGCTCCTGGAAAATTGAAATGAAGTAGAGAAAGCAGTGAACAGCAGTGGTAGCAAGGCTGTTTCAGGAAGCTTGCTGACAAATTGCCATCAATTCCAGTGATTTGGGTTTAGAACCTTAGCCTGTAGGAAAAAAAGTGAATTTGTAGCTGTGCAGGCTAACTAGCAAATGGACCTGAATTTGATTGTAATGGAATCGTAAATCTTTTTCAGAAAAATATGACTACGTAGGTAGACTCCTAAAACCAGGGGAAGAACCATCAGAATACACAGATGAGGAAGATACCAAGGATCACACTAAACAGGAATGAACTTTGTAAACAACCAAAGTCAGGGGCCTTCGGAACTGCAACCTCTTACTCCCCGTCACAGAATGTCCTGCATCTTTGGGTACAGTTCATCTGCTGCGAAAAACATTCAACAGTTTTGTACAAGGAAAATAATATACTCACAAATGAAAATTTGAATACTAGACATTCTTTGTGCTGCCAAACTTTTTGTTGCAGTTTATTTGTAATGTCTGGTTAGGCTTCATTAGTGGAGAGGGGCCAGGGATCTAAAGGCAAAAACGCTATTCCTTTTTATCAGTAAGCTGAAGCCTTCAAGTAGTAATTACAGGCTCTCTGAAAGACGTGAGTCTTCAAGCTCAGTGGAAGGTTTGAATCTTGTTTCGTGTGTCTTCTCCTTCAGCATTAAAGATAGATGTACTTCTATACATCAGCATCAGTAGGTTAAGACTACTGAAACTGGTGTTAAAATGTGAATTTCCAATTTTCTTTTGTACGTGGGCGTTAGTAGCCCTGGCAGAATACTTCAGTTCTCTAAGAGAAGTCCGTGTAGATTAGGATGGGAGTAAAATTCATCCTTTTCTCAAAAGGATTGGGTAAAACCATTTCCTCTGCAATGACTATTATCTGAAGCCTGCTTCTCCCCCCTTTTCCCATCCTCTAAATCAAATCAAATATTAATTGTGCCTTATTTCGCTTACATAGACTTGAATTGTTTTAAGGGACAGCCCCAAAATTCTGGTTTCATAGTCACTACAAGCAGCATTGAGACTGAAGTTAGAATGTTGACTGGAAAACCTTGATGTCATTCTGTGTATAGAATGTAAAAGAGGAATACTCAGTGTTACTGCCATATGTTAATACTACATATACTTAAATTAGCATTGTGATGGCCAAACGCATACTCCCATGCTTCTTTTTAAGTAAGTACAAACACACAAAAAAGTCACCCTTCCTCCTCTTCCAGAAGCTGCCTAACTTTTGGGAGCGTAGCCTTCACAGCCCTGTAGAGCGAAGGGGCGAGCGCGTGTGTCTGTGTGCGTGTCTGTCTGAGTGCAAGACTTGGGAGGGATTGTTTCTGCAGATATTGTAAATACGAGTTACCATTTTAATAAAGCATGTACAATACCAAACGTGACCTCAGACTCCGTGTGGAAGTTGTTAAGCAGAGCTGGAATATGATGGAATACTCAAGTCTTGGATCTGAAATGTCTGCCCCTGTTAATGCTGTTTTTTCTCCTCATGGTGTTACTTCTTCAACTCCCAGCTTTTGAAGGCTTTTGAAGAGTTATTCAGGTAAGCTCTGTTTAAGCAAATAAGCCTATACCCCTACATTTAATGTGGGGGGAAAACAGTGATGTAAATTATAAATGAGAAGCATTTCAGGAGATCACATAACGTACAGTAAAATGTGTGTCTTGTGGCACCAACAGGACGAGAACACTGGAGGTCTGTACAGTGGGTATCACTCAAATCCTGTACAAGTCTCACCATCTGTTCTGCTAAATCTGTAATGGTGACACTATTAAGCTCACAACTTGCAGCTTTATGGCTCACACCTGTACCTCCTTTTGCAGATTCCACCTGTGACAAGTCTGCAGTAACAAATTTCTGTGTATATGTGCTGTTCAACTGTACACTGTGGAATCCCAGGGACTGCTTCCTTTTTGTTACCAACAGATTTATACTGATGTAAATGAAACAAATAAACAAAACTCCTCTGTGGAGTCCTATGTAACTCCTGTGTCCTAGAAGGCAGGCTGAATTCTCTCCCAAGCTTGGAACAGAATAGTTTTATCACAGAAGTAACAGGACCAGAGCTCCGTAGAAATTTCTCCGTAGAAATGAGGTCACACTTGCCAGCTCTTGCACAGGCTGAAGAATCCCACTGGGTGTGTGGCTGTCCAGCTACCACCTGCAGCCCAGTAAAGCACTGGTTTCTGCTTGGGGCACATCCTTCTGCACTGAACACTGGTGCAGTGTCCAGACTTTGGTTTGCTCATTAATTCTGTAATAAGTATCTGCTAATCATCTAATGCTGCTGCAATACAGGGCAGGCTAGTGTAACTGCCCCCAAAAACTTGTGTTTTAGATGGAACAAGGGAAGACACCAAGGGATGAAGAGAAGCTTCCTTGCATAGGACAGGAGCTAGAAGTACTTGGCCACCAGTTCTTTATCTGGATGCTGCACTAGGGCACTTTTTTAAACTAAATCTTACTGTAGAAGGTTTTATATGCTGTAACAGTTACTTTCACTTTTAGCTTCTGCACTAGGTGTTGCACCTCATCATGGCACCACGACCTGTCTAGCTGTGGAGCAGGAAAAGGCCGCTTGCCCAGCTACCAGATGGGACAACCAGATAAATACTTCTTTTGCAGGCTTCCACAGAAATAAATGTCCTGCGTGCTACAGCTTCTGCTGCACAGTGTCACAGCTGGCAGTTACCACCTGCCAGGAGCTGCTCTGCTCTCCTCACAGCTATTGGTGTGGCTGCACCTGGCCGAGCTGCGGCAGCAGCTGTTTGTTGTACCTGCATCTGGTCTGTGTAGCAACTGACTGGAGAACAGAGGCTGCCCTAGCACATGCCATGGCCTCCTAACCCTGCTGCAGCCTCTTCCTTTCCCCTGCTGTTCAGAAACGCAGCGAAGCTCAGTTACAGTGAAGTGACACATGGTTTTGTTGTTGGTGCTTTGTTTTTTTTCCTCAACTGTTTCAAAAGAACAATGCTCAAATTTTTACTTTTACGATTTAGAATTGGTTGAACAGCAAGATGGGTAAAGGACAAGTTTCACGTTGAAGCAACTTAACTGTGAGGAATACAAAACACTCATCCCAGGGCAGCAGTATGTCACAGACCTCATCCTGTATTTTGATGTCTAGTGCATCTAAATTAACCTCATTCATCCTACAAACAAAGTCACTAGGGATTTAAAGCTGACAACATAAAAAATGTGCTTTGAAGCACACCGCAGCTTGCATTGTTTTAAAAAGCTGATAATTTAGAATACCATCAGATCCATCGAAACTTCAGTGCCACTAATGTAATTCTGCAGAGGTGTTCTTCCTTGCAACAGCTGTGTCAAACCCTTGGTCACAATTCACTATTAGCTATAACAACAGACAGGTCGACACTGACAACGTACTAAATTTTGTTTAAGCAACAAAGCACTTGAAGGGACTATTTCTCATCAGCTTTAGAAACAAAATATTTTCCCAGTTTAATATGTTTTCCTAGGCTAGACTTAAACTAGTTTGAGTAGTCAGTTGTGACACTTCCGCCTCATTTGTTCACTGCTTCCCAAGAATACTTTATTATGGCAAGACATCTATTTAAAACCTTCTTGATTAAAAAAAAAAAATATACCATGTTGTTACTTGATCTGAACATCCTGAATTTCCACTAAGGACTACAGAATTATTCTTTCATGTACTTGTTTTTACCGAGCTTTTCCTTGGTTAAGCTTTAAATTTTCTCTCCTTCAGAGTCAGGCACAAGATATAAAAGCAGTTTGGTGCTCTGCTTCTCAATTTGTTTCACTTTAAATATTTTAGCTCTAAGCTATTGTCGAAGTTGTGGGGTTTTTTTCCTTCCTGTAAAATCAGTTTGATTTTACTAATCTTCATTTTAAAGGTCAAGGAACAGTTAAGCCTTATTTATGCTTTCAGTCTCTTTGATAATTGTTTTCTCTGTAGTAGAAGTTGGTGGGGTTTTATTTCCTCCAGGAAATACATGCATTGTTGCATAGAGCAGTACAAGATATTGATCCAGACCTAGTACTTTGAATATAATGGTTTTCCTGGCTCTGCTATTTGTCCTGTTTTTTAAGACAAAGCTGTGTCATTTTTCATCAAGTTTAAGTCACTGCTTCAGCAGCTCAGGACTAAGTGTTGCTGGACTTCATTTATCAAGCTGAGTGTGTGGTGAAATCCTGTGGCTTCAGAGTCCTTGGTACTGTCTTGGTTCTCTCCCACTTTAATGCTGCAGACTGAAGTGTAGGCTGTAGGGGAGCACCCCTCTCTGCTCATTCGGGTATGAATGGAATGATGCAATCCCAGCTGTAGGTTTGGCTACTTACTCCTTTTCCTACTTGACACAAATAATAACCAAACTCTGGCCTTGCAGGCTTATTTAAATATGGTAACCAAATAACTATGATGAATGCTACTAGCAAATCCACTGGCTTCTATTTTATGGTTCAAGGTCAATGTTTACAGATGAGGTTTTAAGCTTGCTTTTGAAGAACATGTGTGCCAAGCTTGGTTCAAATGAAGGTGAAGCATTGTTTATCTAAAAACTTAAAAACCAAACAAAAGACCCCCAGTCAAGCCCAGTGCCCCTTGCCCTTTCTCTTTGGGGATTTCTGCAGTTTTGTGTATTTTTCTTCCTGTGCCAGCAGGCAGCCGCTTCAGTGTGCAACTCCCCGACAAAAATCAGGAACAAAATTAATTGTCCCTGTTCTGGTTACAAAGTTTACTTGCAGAGAAGAAAGCTTTTGATGAGATTAGGGGTGTAGCCTAGAGTAGCAGTGGAACTGGTCAGTAGAAGACCATGAGCTAACGCTCAGCCTCTTCCTGTGTCTGGAACCAAGGGAGGGCAGCTTGTCACCTCCGTGCCACAGCAACGCCTGAAGAAAGCTCTGCAGGGTGGAGGATCCACGAACACAAACTGGTTTCTGTTCATTCTAATGCTTTATCTCCCATGGAAACCCAACGCCTGGCACACCAGTCATGCTGCTTGTTACAGGAAACATGATCTGATCTCCCACAAAGGACAAGAGCCATCCAGAGTCTTCCTTCTCTTTCAAAAAGCCATCAGGATCTAATATTTTGAGCATGACTACAGAAAAATCTTACTGAGTTTAGGCAAGGTAGTGTTCTGAAATACTTGCAGAGTCATTGCTCAACGGAAGAAATGAAGACAAACTAAAGTTCTTCAGTAAGCACATGGAAGAATTTTTAGATAAGGAAAGGTCTAAGACTTGCTAAGTGTTCAGTAATATACTACTACTACTAGAATACTACCAACCTTAAGAAAGACAAACTGAACGTTAGCTGAATGGACCTAAAAGGATCAGAAGGGATACTGGACACGTACGTATGTGTTCAAAGGCAAATTTACAGCTCTGCAACAGGCATGCCAGTTACTGAAAGGTGGTTAACCACCTCAAGCCATACAAGAAACAAACTGCTGAGCCAGTGATTCTGAAATTCCGTGGTCTTCTCAACTCTGTGTGCAACCAATGTATAATTTTTCTCCACCTATCCGCACGGGGAGAGGGGGAAGACTCAGGCCGGAGGGAAGTGAAAGGGGATAGTCCTGAAACATAGCCAGAGCTGTGGGTGGACTTGGGTGGGGTTCTGCCCACCTAAATAAAGGGACACTGCCTAAGCAACTGAGCCTAGAAAGGCCAACAGGACCAACAGCAGGTAAGTACTCACTCTCTTTACTTTCAACCATATTCACCATTAACCTGTCCTAGTTTTCCTTAGCAAATACCCAATTTAGAATGCAAGAAAGGCATCTCACATTCTAAGAACCACTTCAGCCTTTAACAGGCTGGGTTTCCTTGAGACCTTAGTGCACCTGAGGCAACAGAAAGTCACACGTAAGCCTCTGCAGCCATACACTCTTTAGAGATTTCTTCATGCTTCGGGGAAAAAAAAAAAATTGATATACAACACTCTTAGTTTTGCTGATGTTGTTTTTATAAAATTTGTCAAGATATCACAAAATTACATGCACTAAAAGCTTCATCTGCACATTTTCCAATGCAAAAGTGAAAGGAAATATCTTAAATCTATTACTTGTATATACAATTTCAATCCAAATTTACATTCGCATCATTTTCTTGGATAGCAAAAGGCATGGATCAAACACAGGATTGAGATGTGTCACTTCAGCATATTTATAGGGCATTACTTAAAATATTGGTATGTGTTCATTTAAACTCATTTAGAACAGGCCACTTACAAAAGGCTCAATTTTGTGTTGAAATTGTATTACCTGTTGGGAAGGCCACTGCTCACACACACTCCTTTACAACGCAACATTTGTTATTTGTTTCACTGAGATTCACAAGACAGTGACTGAAAAATTGATAGACTTGTTATAGCCTCTGAGATCTGATACCA